AGCATATTTGCTATTAAATACTACAAATGCTCAAGAAAAAGGGTCACATGAGTATTTAAAGACAAATGTTCTCACCAATTTTTTTAATTCTATTCGGAGTCATGGACTAAATCTGACCTATTTCTACACAGACAAAGATTTTGCTGAAATAAATGCAGCAAAAGAGGTATGGCCACAATCTGATATACAATTATGCCAATGGCATATTGATCAAGCAATCAATAAAAAATTAAAAAGTAAAAAAAGAATTCAATACACCCAATATCAGCCTGAAGAAGCCGCTGCTGAGTTTAGTTTCATTAACCCAAAGTTTAAACCAGAATTGAATCGTTCTGACCCTGATTATTACCAAGTCTGCCTATTAGACCTACGAAAAGATATTATGAATCTCATTAGAAAGCATTTTAACATGCACCCAAAAATACCTATTAATGCAGATGGTAAATGTTTGACATCTGCAGAGATTCGAGAACATGCAGTGCTTGAATTATATAGTTTTTGTGTAGAACATAATTTTGTAATATTATGGTCATACTTGTGGTCTTCATGGTATAAAATATCACGTTGGCATCTCTGGGCACGTTTAATGCGAGCAACAATACCAATTGGAAAAATGAATATGATAATAGAATCGCATTGGAAAGTGCTCAAATATTGTTATCTATATCGGTTTAACAGGCCAAGATTAGATTGTTTGGTATGGATTATTTGTTCTCGAGTTTTATCTGATCAAACCACTCGTTATTAGCAAATATATCATGGTCGAATAACACCAAAGTGGTTTGAAAAATTTAAGAAAACCTGGAATCAACTTGCTGAACAGCTAATTGCTGATAATATGGAAAACCGTTATGCAATTGATTTAAATTATTAGATATGTAGCTGTCCTTCATTTTTACATAGCCGATTCCTTATTTGTAAGCATCTCATCCACCGAGCAATTGAGAAGGAAAAGTTGTATAACCCAGAAGGAATCTGACTTATTTATCAAAATTTCAAATGACGAACAGATTATCCGTTCCTTATCTGGAATAGCAATGAACCA